CCTGCTGGCTGCCGAGGCGAAGGGCTGTGTGGGGCGTGAGGGCGGAGTGCTGCGTGCCCACTGTCCACCGCCCGGGCCCTGCACCCACCTTGCTTTCACTGCCAGCCTCGGAGCTTGGCTCAAACAGGGTACACGTTTGGGGCACCTTACTTTGCCCAGTCCCCACTGCGTGCCTTGCACAGCCCCTGCAGAGTGCTGGTGGGCACCATGGAAACACCCACTGGTCTGCTCTTTCCCAAGGCAACCTGCAAAGACGCTGTGGTATGACCGCCCACGGTATGTCTACCTGGAGTTCTGTGTCGAGGACAGCATGGATGTTAAGGTCATCATTGAGGACCAGCGGTGCTGGTGTTCAGGTGAGATGCTGCTGCCCTGCCAGCCAGGGACACGACCCTGAACTGGGGGTGGTTCGGAGGACGGGGAGGACTCCTATAAGAGCACGCGTGGCCTTAGCCCTCTCCTAAGACAGGCTGTTATGGTGTTTTGGCAGTTGCAAAAATGCAGACGGCATGGAGTTCTACAACGAGATCAACCTGTATGCCAGGGTCAACTCCAAGGTGAGGCTTCCCCCCAGCAAACTGTTCTCCAACAGCCCACATCAAGCTCAGAGTTAAACCCAACCTGTGCAGTCTTGAGCAACACCACTTAGTATTGAATCCTGCCCATTTCCCGACAGCCTGAGTGGCGTGAGCACAAGCCTGGGAGCCCTGTCCCTGGGCCTGCCATTCGCACTGCTGTGTTGTGCCAGAAACAACTTGTCTCCATGGTTCTGTGTCCCCCACAGCCTACATGTGGCTGAGCTTTAATCCTGTGCATGTGTGCAGTGGACTAACAGTGACGAGTCTGGCAGATACTGAGGTGAGGCACCCCCAATCTCTTGGCAGGACTCACGGGAAAAGCGCTCTGACCGCTCCATCACGTGTTTTATGAGGAAGTGGAAAGAGAAAGTGGCCTGGCCTCGCATCACCAAGGAGAACATCAAGGTGTGTGTGACACCCAGCAGCCAGGACCAAGCCTCAGTGCATGTGCTGTCCCCACACAGCACCTTGCAGCTCCTGGGGACCAACCTGCCCCTGGGACAGACACTGAGGGCCCCATGCAGGCACCCGAACACAGAGCTCCCAAAAAGCCTGACCTCACAGTCACTGCCAGTCCATGAACCTCTGCCCTCCAGGAAGGATGTGGCACCCCTTTCGCTCAACAAAGGCTGGGTCAGGACCAGCACATGCAGGCGAAGGAACACACTCCCCTTCCTACCCTTCCCCAGCCCACCCAGTCCCCTCACCTGTGCAGGAGCAGCCTGTGCTCGCCCCACAGAGCAATCCCTGGGCTGGGAGGACAGCGTTGCTGGGTCCCCTCCTTGCTGCTCCGTCCCTCAGGGGATGCTCTCTCTGCCCACAGCCGGCCTGGCTCTTCGTGGATTTTGACAACTGGCGAGACTGGGAAGGGGACGAGGAGGTAGAGAGGGCCATGGTGGAGCAGTATGCAGAGGTGAGCTGGGCCACAGGCCTTGGGGTCCCAGGGTGTGTGTGGTGGGCACTCGGGATGGGGGGAGCCAGGCATTTGGAGTTCCCCCAGCCACTTGTTTCCTGTCCAGCTCCTGGAGAAGGTAACGGACAAAGGCCCCCCCCCGGCCATGGACGACCTGGATGTAAGTACTGCCCGTGAGCTGCTTCCCCCAGATGCTGCTACATGCTGCGCCTG